AATTTATTATATATTATTTTACAAAACCAAAGAAGTTGGAGTAGCATGAGTCTTCCATAAATAAGATGGGTTTCTTTTGGTTGCGGTTTTTAGAGTGAATAAAATCTTCATAGCCACTGGAGTTAGGCATACCACTATTGTTTTCTAAAAGCATCCTTTTAAAAATTAATTTTTAGAATTGTTTTCTTTATTTCTTTATATACAGTTTTCCACTCCTGCCAAGTTGACTTCCAGTTTACTCTTAGGTCTTTACTGCCTGTAAAAGATTACTCCTATTCACAGTGCCTATTTCAGGGCTGTGTGAGGTGTGTAGTGTACAATTTGAACAGATTTCATCTGAAGCCCCAGTCCTAATCTATTTCAGGAATTATTCTACAGTCTGCTATTTATTTGAAACTTGACCTAGTTGAATTCAATTTTGCCATTGCTTGGCACATTCAAGCACTGCTGCCCTTGGACTACTGCTTTACTTTGATAAGCAGCTGTCCACTGGAAACATTTCCTGACAGTTAAGTGTTGGCAATTTGCAGACTTGAAACAAGAATGAAAATCTCTAATTGCTCAATATTTGCTACTTTTCAAGCAATTAGTTTCGGTTTCAGTATGAGAAACATGTTGCCTCCTTTTATTTCAGCTGAGTTAGTTCAGTGGATACAAGCTACGGTCCACCTCCTGAAGCTACTATTAAAACAAATGCTTTCAGTTGATGACAAATTTGTGTTTTAAAATGTTTTTACCACTTTATGAGCACTACTACAGTTCCTTCTCTTTTAGTTTTTTTTACTGTGCAATGTCATTTCTTCGCTTTTAGTGAAGAGACTCTTGTTTCTAGCAGCTTCAGTGGCACAGAAATATTTGCATCTTTTACTACCTATGTTTTATATCTCAGCACTTAATATTCTTAACTTACACCTTCTCCAATATATTTTGTATTTTCTTCTTGAAGACTCTTCAATTCAACCTTTATTTCTGGAGAGTGCTGTTAAATTCCTGTACTTCAGTACCTTCAAGGATGATGATGGTATTCTATTTTCTTAATGCTTTGCATAACACTTTCTTGGCACAATACCTTGCTCTGTGTGCCAGGGAATATTGATGTCATCCATTGTCCTGTAAAATAAGATTAATGGCTCTCAATTATTGCAAAACACCATTCTGTGCATGCTATGGATCAGCAATTTAAAGCAGAAAGTAGGCAACCAATCAATAACAAAATTCGGTGCTCTATTTATTCTTACTGGAAGTGAAGAATACAAAATGTTTTAACTGTTTTTCAGTAGAAGCAGTTAAACATCACCCAGCATTCATGTTCAAGAAATAAAAACCCTCTGAACTATGTAGTTCAGAACCTTGTGGGTCAAGGATCAGATTTTTGCATATACTTTTTATACATTTTTTTGCATATACTTAAAATTGAACTATTGTCTATCAAATATCAATGTTACATGTACAGACAATTGTAAGCCATGTTATATCAGTGAGATGTAAAATAAATTGAAAACATAATTATGCTTTGGAGTTGTTCCAAAATAGATCATAATTTCAAAGTAACTAAGAATGACAAACAAGAAATCTTATGCTCAAGATAGAAAAGGAATAGTAAATGTCCTGAAAGGAAATAACACTTGAGATGATATTAGACTAATAGTAGAAATAGGTTGATATCTCAAACTTATGAATGATCATACTTCCTTGCAGTATGGACTGATGAACAGCTCTTGGCTGTGTGTAACTGGTTAAGTGATGGACAAGGCTGCACGTGAGAACTTGAGTGGCAGGAATTCAGGTGTCTTCTGCTGATTTGGATCATGGAATTGTACAGTTGTTTGAGTTGGAAGGGACCTCTAAAGGTCATCTGGCCAACTCCTCTGCAATGAGCAGGGGCACCTACACTGCATCAGGTTGCTCAGATCCTCATCCAGCCTAACCTTGCATGTCCCCCAGGATGGGGCTTCTGCTGCCTTGCTGGGCAGCCTGTGCCAATGGAGTGAAATTGAACCAAGTTGCTGCACTGGCATATTCTAGTAACACAGTGCTTGCTTCAGTGCATGGGAAGTAGTGAAGGGGTAAAGGGGCAGACCTTTAGGTAGAGTGTGCTTTGTGAAATTGCCGTTTCCTCCTGTGTCAGCCTTCAGTGCTTCAGCTCTAAGATTCCTGATGGCTGATAGGCTCAAACAGACTTTACTGGCTCCAAAAAATGCTGTGTTTTAATTCTCTTCTACTTGACAGGCAAAAGCAGCTCCTTCAGCAGATTAAAGATGATGGTTAGTGTATGATTCTGGGCTGACTACTCCTGTACAGAATGGAAGAAGTGTTTTGACTCTTTAAACTGTAGGTTCCTAAGGGCATGCTTATTGGCTGGAGCTGGAGCCTGTGAGTGCCCAATGCTTTGAATCATAATCATTAAGGTTGGAAAAGACATCTAAGGTCATCTAGTCCAACTGTCAACTCACTGCTGCTACCATGCACACTAACCATATCCTTCAGTGTTACATCTATGCATTCTTGAAAACCTCCAGCAATAGTGACTCATCCTGCATCCTTCGGCAGCCTATTCCAGTGCCTTACCACTCATTTGAGGAGAATTTTTTCCTAGTACCTGAAGCATCAGAAGTGACCAGAGGATGACGTTGCACTGCATCCTTTCATACTGGCAGTGCAAATGGGATGGCTTTTTACAGAGTAAACTTGTCACTGGACCAGTGACATGGGAGTGCCTGTGAGGTATGCTGATGTGGGAATGAGAGGGAGGACATTCATTTTCTTCTTTCAGGGTGTTAGGTGATGCCAGAATCTGCAGTGATGCCCTTCAGCAGCTGTTTCTCAATCCCTCATTGCCCTTGTTAGTCACTGTTCATCTACCCACACACTAGAAGTATTTTTCAGCTTTCTGCCCTCTAAATTTTAACACTCAAAACCCTGAGAATCAAATATGTTAATAAATACCTTAACACCTCAGCTCTTTTAGGGTTTCTGTGGAATGAAAGGAGTTCACAGTGTGCTTCTCTGTTCTGTAGTGTGAGGAAATCCCCCACCAGGAGCAAGTGGGCATCAGAATCTCTCTGTCTTCCCTAATTGGCAGCCACAGGAGATCAGGCTCCTGGACAATCTGTTGTGAAGCCACCTGTGGTTACCTGCAGGTGACCCCTGTTTTGAGCACAGCAATTCTCTGACCCAAATGGTACAGGTTTGTGCTGGTCTGGAAATGCAGGCTGGTTGTTCCCATGTGCTTGTGAGGGCACTTCCTGCTGGTCTTATGAGGAGTGGTTGGATGAGCTGGGATTGTTTCTTCTGGAGAAGAGGAGGCTTGGAGGAGACCTCACTGCACTCTACAGCTTCCTGAAGGGAGGTTGTGATGAGGAGGGGTTTGGCCTCTTCTCCCAGGCAACAAACAGGACCTGGGGAAATGGCCGCAAGCTGTACCAGAGGAGGTTTAGGTTAGACATAAGGAAGAACTTTTTGTCTCAGAGAGTGGTCAGGCACTGGAATGGCTGCCCAGGGAGGTGGTGGAGTTGCTGTCCCTGGCAGTGTTCAAGAGGTGTCTGGATGAGGAGCTGTGAGATATGGGTTAGTGCTTGTGGTAGCAACAGTAATGGGAGCACAGTTGGACTAGATGATCTTGTAGATCATTTCCAACTTTATGATTCTATGAACTTGGTGTATGTATAATGGTGGCAAGCAGACATTGGTTTCTAAAATCAGGGTAATTTGCTAACTGAAAATGTTACAATGTCTTCATTTATGGTTTTCTTCGCAATCCTCTGCTAGGTATAGATAAGGCGTTCACTTGCAGGGAGAAAGATTTTTATGCACATGTATTTCCTCGTGATGTATCTGCAGCTCAGCATTCACATTGCTGGGAGAGAGGAACAGAATCTGCTATTTAGTCAGGGATTGATGCTTCTGACGTAAGCAGCTTGCAGGTGTTCCTCTATGAGCCTTTAGAAGGATGCTCAACATGTGGTATTGCAAGAACAGTTTCAGCGAACTTTAGGTAAGCAAATTGACCTAATTTAATAAACCACTTTTCATCAAGTGAGATGGAGCCAAATCAAGTGCTTTTGCCAAGAAACGTATTTTTATTAGCATGGTACAATTGGTTGCTTATTAAGCAACCTGTGTTCACAGTGTGTGCTGGGGGCAGGAGCAGAGCTGTGGCCTTGGGGTTTCCCACCCAGAGAGGGTATGTTGGGGAGGGAGGGGGGTGGCTCCAGGCTTCCTGCACTGGGCTTTGTGTGGAACTGGGCATTTCAAAATAAATTCAAGTGTTATCTCACTGTTCTTTAAATTATGTTTGTATTTTAATTTTCATTCTTTTAGCAGCATTACCCCTATTGTATCCCAACAGAGACATCACAATCATCATATCTGTAATGGATTTATTGAAAGGCATCTTTGTTCTTGTAACCTATTCTAATGTGTTGTGCTAGCAGACTAGATGATCTTCAGAGGTCTTTTCTAGCCTTAATGATTCTGCCTCTAGTGATCAGCTTTGCCATTAAGTGAAAATGTCCACCTCTGGCCCCCCAGCACAGCTGCAGTACTTTTTGATTCAGCAGAGATGCTAATAGGAAACCAAAGTAGTATTTTTCTATTCCTGACAGGCAGCTTACATAATGGGTACTCTTCCTCCTCAGGTACTATAAAAACCAGACCCTCAAGACTCTTATTTGTCAGTGTTCAGTGAATGCATATGATTGTGTGCTGGTTTCCTCTCTGTCAAGGCAATCACATTTCAGTTCTCAAGATGAAGCACTTTTTCCCCTCTTCTTTGAGACCTGTTTAAACTATTTGGATGTTATTAAGCTTAGTATCATTTATAAGGATAATTCAAGCCAACAGGATACTGAATGGAAAAATAGAATAGCTTGAGAGTATTTGCAGACTTTACAACAGTATATCTTGTTTTAAAATTTTGTTTTTATTAAATATTATCTTAAAAAAAAAAAGTTTTCCAGAAAACAATGTTACTGCCAGTCTAAAATCAGACTTCTCTAGTTTAAAAAAAAAAAAAAAAAAAAAAAAAGCATATCTAGGCCAAGGCTCCTTCACTTTTTTTGAATAACACCTAGAACTTCTCTTGCTCTTGAGGTATTAGAGTTTCCAAGTCTGTGGATGGAGTCTGTGTCTCAGTCACAGCTGTTGCATGTGGACAGGGAAGGTGCAGTCTGTGCCCTGTTCTTTTTCTGTAGGCCTGGGGCATCCCCAATGCTGCTACTGATGCTTGAATTTGTAGCTCCAGGCACACATAGTGCACTTCAGATGAGGTTCTGAGAATGTGGAAAGCTGTGCTCTTAGGCAGTATTTCTTCCCTGTGAGTGTTGAGCTCTTAGCATATCTCAGGCTGTGGTTGTAGTATGGATGTGCACAGCTGTTTGATCTCATATCCTTACATTCACCTGTTGATATTGTACTCCCAGTGTTTTTATGCTTTCATGTAGCTTCCTCCACAACCTGCATCACATACTCAGTTCCCAGCTCCCCTTCCTGTCTGGGGAAGCGGAGGCAAAAAGGAAAGGCTGTGGGACTGTCTTGCCTCCATTCATGCACCCTTACAGAATCCTGGAGCCTCATTCTCATCAATTCCCTTGTCCTGTTTTTCCTTTGAGAAAACAAACTTGTCCACTTGCTCACCCCAGTCTTTACGGCAGAAATTCTACCCAGCCCCATGTCAGGGTGGAACTGCAATGGATGGTCCCTTACACTGGAAACAACAAATCAAGGTGATTTTCAAGACATGTTTTGACTGTAATCAAGTGTTCTAAACTGTTACTTTGTGAATTTGGCTTTCTTGCATTGTGGGTTAATGAATAATCCACTGTGTATGTTTATCTTGCAGCATTATGTATTTGATTATTGGTTGTAGTGCAAGGAAACTTATTTTTACAGTAGTTGATAGTGATATATATTTAAATATATATAAAATTGCAGCTGAGATCTGGAAGCAGAGTGTTGTACTGAGAGCTAAATTAGACAGCTGAGCTATTGGACAACTTCTTGTTGCCAAATGGTGGAGATCCTGCCCCTTTCACCAATCCTTTTGCCTTTGCATAGATGCACCTTCAGGCATACGCCAGTTCTCACGCTTGTGGGCTCCCTCACTTGGTTAGACCTTCTAACCCTGCAGCTTATGGAGAACAGTTCTGGTTGGGTTAATGCTGGTTTTATGTAATTTTGCACTTAAAGTGATTGTGCAAGTGCTGGAACACGTGAGCTGCAGGCACTGCACAGTGTCTGCTTGCAGTGGATCATCTGTGTTTGTTGCCCTTCTGTTACAAACTCTTGCGCCAAGAGACCTCCCGTATAAGTTTGGATTATCACCAGCAAAATTGATGAGTCAAGACTGCAACAGCTCATATCCTTTGTGGCTCACCAAAAAGCCCTCTCACACCAAAACACTCCAACTGCATGACACTGGGTTCCATTCCAGTTTTCCCATCTAATTGTTTGACATCTTACCAACAATAGTCTGGAAAAAAAAAAAACAAAAAAAACCTGAGAAACCAATCTTATGAGTATTGCTTCCTGTTTTCTGAATGCTGAACAACAGTTTGTGTAATGATGATGAACTGTTAAATATAATTAAGTCTTATTCCCTATAGTCCTTGTAATAAAAATCGTAAACAATATTTTGCAAATAAAGCTGCAGGCCCACAGGCTGTCACTTCCAGATGGCATGAATTAGCAGAGGAAGATTTGTTGTGCTTCCTTTCCCCAGCAATCCACCCCTCCCCTGGTTTGGGATGTGCTAGCCCTGGCCAGGGATGACTCAGCTGCTGGTTAATCACCTGCTGAAGTGCTAAAAGTGATAGATTGGCTCTGCTTCCTCAAGCAATGGTGAGCTGTCAAGGCTGACCAGCAAGAAAATGTTCTGCAGCTAGGAGAATTCCCCTGCCATCCTAGTTAGAGTCATTGCAATTAAGGCTTGCTGCTTTCATCTGCACAGATTTTGCTGTGACTTCAACCATCTATTTTGAGATCCTGTTTAATAAATGGTTCCTTGTGTGCAGGTTGCCCATACAGGGGACTTCTCACCGGTGTGTCTAGAGGAATACTGGTCAGGGATGTTTCATTGTTTTCCAGTTGATAACTTGGAAAGTAATAGAATATTTCCAACCAGAGAGACCATCTCCCAAAAGAGGTCACGTTTAGAAGAGTGTTCTGTAATCTTGAAGTTTCAAATGGCTGCTTGCCAGATTGCTGATGGTAGAGAGAAGAGAAAAAAAAACTACAAGCCATATAGAAAACTTCACCAACCTCTGCCCCCGCATAGGGACTGCACATGTCCAATCAGCTGTCAGGAAAAAAGCATGAAGAACCTATTGCCATGGTGTAACAAGTCTTAGTGTCCTTTGTAAACAAACAGACTTTGTGAGAGATACAAACCAACCCCAGTTTACCACAGTAAGTTGTAACTAATGCAGTCCAAGTGCCTTTTAGACTCTTCCTTTCCGTGTTGATACCTTCTTCTTACCTGAAGAAAAAATGTAAGCCTGCTCTCAGCAGCAGTAACAGCAGCTGCCCTGCTGACAAGCAAGCAAACACTGAGAAGAGAACATCTCCGAGTCATTGTTGAGAACTTTGACAACATACAGTATGTTTCCTTCTCCACCTGCTATGGTGCATATCTGTACTGCTTAGCCCAGCCAGCGATGGTTCCCTCAGTACCTGAAGAAAATATCATCACGGTTACCCTCAGCAGATCGCTGTCAAGAGGACAGAATCTACTACATGCGGAGGGAAGAGCTAAGCTTTATCTACGTTTGCAAATACTTTTTGCTAGATGTTGTTTACTTTGGTCTCTGTTGTATAGTTTAGTATATTCTGGGGGACTGGCTCCATCCTCAAGAGAAGCCCATTTTCAGCTCTCCTCCTTCCCACATGGATAGCAGCAGTATCTCAGCCTCTCTTCACCCTTACCCAAGAGATTTTCATTGTTGGGGTCATCTGAGACAAAATCCTCCAGCAAGCCCCTGGCTGCACTTTGCTGGCTAAACTCTCAGTCCTGGAGGGCAGAGAAAAGCAGTGCCAAAAAGGATTATTTAAAGTTATGGATCTGTGTAACTTCTCACTGTAGCAATGCTATTGCAGCAAAGGTTCATCATCTGGCAGGATCAATACAAATGAACAAGTGCACAATTCTCTCTGTTCTTGTTTTTAGAACAAGTGTGATTGTTATTAACATTTTTGTGTAGGAAGGTCCAAGGGCATGGCACAATTCCAAGCCAGGTTTGCTCATCTAACCATGCTTGCTGTCTCTCGTAAGCCTTCAGAGTCATCTTTTGATAAGCACGTTGTTTGCAGAACAGATCTGAGATTTATTCAGAGACATTCTTTCACATATTTTTCCACGAACATCCCACATCTTCAACATTAAACTGTATTTACCTGCTTTAGTAGATGTTGGACTTGATGATTCTTGGAATTGTTAGCTGCAGAGGTAATATTCAGAATGTCACCACATGCGAAATGCAGATACTTGCAGAAAAAAGCAAGGGCAGAGTGTCTCTAAGTGCTACATAATCTTGTATAGTTTAAGTCCCTCAGTGGGAAGCCACTGCTAAGTTGTGATCTTTATTGGATCACAGCAGATACAAATCGTAAGAGCCAAACAAGTATTATCGACACTGCACTGACTGTGATTTGCCTTTTTTATTATTATTTCTATCTCAAATTTTTTTTCAAACCATCAGTCACGAGTGCCAGAAGTCTCCAGACTGATGAAGTTAACCATTTAGCATTTTATTAACTTCATCTTAAAATTAGGCACAATGTACGTGAACATAGACTTACAAGTTCTTGTTTCCTTTAAGAAAATTTATCTTGTGGAACGGTCTTATTCTTTATGGGAATTTAAAAATCAATTCATTCTGCTAATCTTTAAAATATCTAAGCTAGCAGCAGTCGATTTATAGCAATTCTTTTCTCTATGCAGACAAAACACAAAGGTTGTTAATATTTTCCAGCCAAGTTTCCTTGTATTCCAACTTGGGAGTGGTAACAGGAGGAGAGCCAAGGAATTTCCAGAAATCTTGAAGTGCGAGTAAGTCATTACTGACACAGTGCCATGAGCAGTTGGTTGAAGGAACTTAGATGTAGGATAAAGAAAGTTAGATGCAGGGTCAAGTAAGAGGATAACTCTGACTCTGATTAGCAGTTGTTATCAGTGCATCCCACCAGAAGTAAAAGCTTTCTTACACAGTGGGGAAAGAAAGGTAGCTACTTCCACTGGTACAAACAAACTTAACCTTTCAGCATTCTGTGCCCTCAAATGGTCTCTGCGTGGAACCATTTAAGCTACTGCCCCTTCTGAGACTCTTTGCCACCTCAAGTCATTGGTTTAGGTTATATTTGTTTTACAATTTAGTGATTGTAGTTTTATTGGTGCAAAAATGTTATCTAAAATATCTGTAGATGTTTACCATCTAGAGACTGGTCCTGTTGCGAAGGGTAACTTCTAAGGCAGATTACGTGGAAAGCATGAGTGTGAAGCCCTGATGGCTGCAGATCTTCTGCAGTTAGTCCACTCAGAAGCTCTAATGGTTCATACTTGGGAACGTAAGCGTGGGATTCCTCAGGATCATTTCCTGGATTTCAAAATGGCTGAATCTTCAAAAAGACTTCAGCATTGTGAAGAAAGCTCATATTTGGTTGATAAAAGCATGTCTCATTGTTCTGTTACATCTCCTTCAAAATCCTCAGCCAAGGAATGGTGTGATTTCTGAACATTGCTCCTTGTTTGTTCCCTTGACCTACGTGTAATTTTAGTGCTTCTTTTTGGTATTAAGAGAACACTATCAAAAGGAGGAAAATACAGAGGTCCATCTGACTAAGGTGGAGAACTTTTAGGGAGGAATAAATGATAAGTTATAAGGAGTAAATATTCATGGTAAGGCTTGTGATTTTATCTTCTGGAATACAGTAAGAGTGTGCATACAAGAGAGCTTGGGACAGGACTGTTACTGCAGATGGTGAACACTTCTACACACAAGCCCTACCTGCTTCAAGTATTCCTTTCACACTCCCACAAGTGTTACACTGTACTTGCACTATAGTGTAATATTTGTGCTACATTCGCTCTCTGTATTACAGAACAACATACTCATGTTGTGACTGTCTGTATCTTCAGAGATGTAAGCCATACTGAAAACACAGGACATCACAATTTCCAGTCAGCTACGTTAATCTTGCTCTCTTTTGTTTCAAACAAGTGCTTATCTTAATTGTTTAAGAAGGAATTTACTCAGAAATCTGCAGATGAATGACACCTGAGGATGAATTAACACTCAAGCACATCATACAAACCAGCTATTTTTTTCCCCACAAGTTGCAGATGCTATTCTTGACAGAATCACATGAATAACCTTGTATCAGATGCAGGTAATCTTAGCCTTAAGTTCAAGTGTAATCACATGCACATTTATGTGGAGCAAATCCTTAACTGTACAGTGTTATCTATACCAAAGAAATACAAGTACAGCTTAGAAAAACTTCAGGCTGAAAATCAGTGCATTACCTGAAGCTCAGTATGTTTTTTTAGAACTTATAATTTTGTGTGTGTGTGTGAAATTAACTTGGCGTTCATTTTTTAGGGAGTTGTAACACAGAAGATTTCTACTCGGTGCCTTACTCTCATCCTGTTACAGGCTGACTCAATGCCAGAGCAGAGAAATCATGTTATATCCTGAAGGAAATAATTCAAGCACCTCACCTGGCAATTCTGCTGAGATTTGTTCCTTCTGGATACGCAGCCTTTACTTGGAACTGTCGGCTCTCACCCAAATTGTTAGTTAGGAGCTTCCCAAAACACAGGTATGCTGTTTTACAATAACTGTAGCATAACTGGAATCAGATGTTCAGTTTAAGTGTACATGATGCATTGCCTCAGGGACAACCATTAACATGCCAGAAATACACAGACAGATCAGTAAGTAATGCAAAGAGTATTTGTTAAAATTAATCTAGGGAAGACCCACCTTGTTAGCTCTCCACCAGGATTTCCCACTTCCAGGCAGTATTCTTCAAAGACTGCACACACAACAGATGCCTCAGCTATCACATCTCACCGTGTTAATTTCTGAGCAAGCTTCTTTTAGTTTGCACTTAATGCAAACTCACCCTAATGGAGCTGCACCATCACCAAGGTTTCACCACCCATATACCACCAACACTTACAGTACCAACAGATAAAATTTGTTCTGCAAGAACCTTGTTTGTTGCTGCTAGCTGTACCTGCTGACAGTGGTCTTCTATCCTGCCCTGCAGCAGGACAATAGACATGGCTGTCTTCCAAAGATCAACTGCCAGAAGCTACCAGAAAAAAAGATACCTGCTCGGTTCCTTCCTAAAATGAGAACAGACTGTGAAGACCAGCTTCCAAACAGCTGTGTATTGCTCTTGGAAATGATTACCAAATTCACAAAATAAGTAATAACACAGCCTATATCTCAGCTGTTAGCTTTTTGTTTTATTTTCTCCTCAGTCTCATTCACAGGCAGCACCAAGGAAAATGGTGTTTTCCATGCTTTGAAGCATTAGTGAATAGTAGGATCTTTGCTACCACAAGAATATGAACTTGCACATGGGAAAGTAACAGCAGGCAACAACAACACCACATCCTGAACTGTCTTTGAGTCACTGTATCAATGACTGTCACGCCAACTATGCCATCCCAGTCAACTTTGTTCTAATGCAATGGCTGAGTCCCAGCATTAAGAGTTTCAAACAGTGGTCATAGAAACAGTAAACTCTTTGTGGGAGTTGCCTGATGTGTTTCAAAAGGCAGCTCTATGCTGTTGTCAGCTATGACACTGGCACAACTAAGATGCATTTCCATTTTGTGTTCTACCTTCTTGCTTGGGTCTCACAGAGATCTTTCTGTGAGGACTTTCCTTGCTGGGTGCAGGAGGAAAGAGCACTTCTTGGCATCAGGAACTTGCTGGTAGAGAACCATCTGTGATCTTAAGTTCATATGGTAGCTGAAGACCTAAGCACATACCTCATACTTTCTCCTGAACATGGAAAAAGTCTCTCACCAAGACACATCTTTACATACCTGTCATGCTATTTCATTAGATGTGCTTGGTATTTACGGAGGTGAAATCACCAACAGGACAGGATGTTATCTTCCAGTCACACAAAGCAACCATCACACTTGTGCTAGTACTCTAAACACTTGAGCAATAAAGATCCTGTGTTGTTTTGCAATAAAGCTTGTTTACTTCTTGCTACTGTTCAAGCCTATGATGAAGAAAGTTTCTTTTCAGAAATGTAACAGGTAAACTCCAGCTGCCCAGATCACTATGACAACATCCATTTCTTCCAGCTGCACAAACAGGTAATAGGGCCATCATTTTCTATTTTAAAACAAATACAGAACAGGAACTTAGACTCGTCAGACCCCAATCTCTAAAATGCAAACTTAGAGTATGAGATGGCTTTAGAAGCCATTTACACCTACATCTACAGATCAAGGATGCTGTCTCAGTCTATTTGCTCTCAGGAATAATCCTGCTTAAAGAAATTGCCTGTTAAAGAGACCAAGAATAGAAAAAAAGAGAAAAAACACACTAAATGCATTTTTTTTGGTAGCTAAATTAACATTAATTGCTATCATGCAGCTGAAGTAGTTTTGGTTTCTGGACATAAATCTTGCTTATGTGATCAATACAATTTTTACTGCTGCCTCAGCTCCACTCCAGATGGCTCTTCCTTCAGAATTTTTAAATAGCTATACCAAACTTTTCTTAATGACATCCATTGAAACGACAAGAAGCAATGGAGAAAAACTGGAAACCACACATTCCACATAAGCTTTTTTTTTTTTTTTTTGAAACTGCATAGTCACACACACTGGAACAGGCCATCCCACAGTGGTTGTAAAGTCTATTGGAGTATGGAAACAGTACTGAGGAACACTCTGATTGACCTTGCTCTTAGTATAGCTACCTTTCAAACTCAGTGATTCTGTAAAGTCCTTATGGAGATGTTCTTCTTCAGTACATTCCTAGGAAGGATCCTCCAGATTAAGAGGGAAAATGGACCTTCTTAACATCAGGAGGTGAGGAGCCTGCAAGACGTGCATACACCACACGGGTATATTGGTGATTGACTTTATTACTAGCAAGCAGAGCTATCACAGCATTTACAGGTACGCATCACAGAATTTACAGGTATATATTTTCTGATAACTTCAACTTCCTGAATTGAGCTGCAAACTGAGCAGAGTTTCTGAAAGAAGATCTGAGAGAACAGTAGAAACAAATTTTTTTCTTCATCAGTCTGAATTCTACCTCTCAGTTATCCATCATAACTGTAAAGCTACTTCTAACATTCTTGTTTCTTGCTCATCATTAGCAAAATAGTTCAACTTAAACTCTTCTCAATCAGTGAAAACATCATTAATTGTATAAGCAGGGAAAATGACAATAGTTTCTAGGCCATCATGGGAAAAAACAACTCTTTTTTTTAAAAAAAATTACAGATTTTAAATCACAGAATTGTAGAGGTTGGAAGGAACCTTTAGAGATCATTGAGTCCAACCCCCAATCACCCTTTTCTCCATGCTGTCTGCAGTTAATTTCATGCTAAAGCATATATAGTCTTAGTTTGTAGGCATTGCCAATTGCCAGTGAAATACTGTGATATGAGATTGGTTTAACCAGCATATATATAAATAGCATAATATATAATCTTCCTTTTTTTTTTTTGTGAGGGTTTAATGAAAGTCAGGTTGGAGGGAGCCTCTAAGTGGTCATTGTCAAAAAGGACAAGGCCTCCTCCACAGCATACCTGAGAATAGTCCTAAGAGAAAAGGCAAATAAAACAAGTCTCTGTAGATAGAAGACAGCCTGCTTCCCAATTCAGGAGCAAAACATTCTGCTGTTACTCAAGCTGTAGTTCTAGTGAACCTATTCACTATTCACACAGCATCATTCCTTTCTGAAACAGTCCCAGGAGAAGCCCTAATTACACCATGTATTACCTTTGGTTTTAGTAGCAAAGGTATTTCTGTTGTCTTGCTTGGCAAGATGTTTGACATCCCATCTCTACTGGTAGTATTATGCTTTGTAGCTACAAGCTCTACATAGGAGATGAAAAGTTAAAATTGTTCCTAAAATATTGCACTCATAAGATATAAAGATTTCATTGCAAAGTTGCAGGCATAGTATTAGCTTTTAAAATAAATTAGACAAGAAGTCAATTAGCAGCACAAATGTCATTTACATTCTTTTGTTCCCCATGACATCCATAGACACACCTGTGAGTCCTGAGATTATCTCCCCTCAAACTGCTAATTATTGGTTTGTGAAGCAGAATGATATTTAAGGCATTATAACAGATATTACCAAAGGAATGCATTTCAATTTTCCTACTTCCATAATGAGGGAAAAAGAAATCAGTGCATTGGATAAAAAAAGCTCACGTGAAAGCTGTTGATTAAGAGCTAATTAAAATCAATTTCCTTAGAAATGTTATTAAGTAGAAGTGAGGCACCTTAAGTTCACAGCTGCTAGAGAAGCAGACCTTTCCCACCACTACCTTTAACAAAGTCTGCTTTTCAGTTGCTGAGTTTTGTGCAATTTTCAGTCCTTCTTCGTGCGGCCTTTGAAGCTATCCATGAAATGGAGGGCTCCAGCAAAGTCCGCAAGGAGAACGCCTACTTTCACTGGTAGGATACTGCAAGGTAGAAGAAACAGATCTCAGAAGATTTTTGTACTTTATACAGAAATCACAGAAGTCACTTCACATGGCTAATACTTGCAAAGAAATTATAATCTCTTACATAGTTCCACCAGTGCTCACAAAATACAGGTTACACTCATTTTGCTGCCTTAGTCATTACCTTAAATCAGTTCACCAGCCTGGCTTGCAAGAGACAGACATGCCCTAATGCTGGGCCAAAGATTCCAGTGATGCCTTTCCTTAGGAGCAGGCCCAGTTTCTACAGCCCACAGTAACACTGCACCCCAGCAGAGGCAGCAAGCCAGTCACACATTTCTGACATTGTTTTGTGTAGAACCAACCCCTAGAAACTAAGAAAACTCCAGAAATGTGGAAAACTGAATGAGCATTCACACTGCACAGGAGTAGTCTAGTTGGTGTTTTTAGTCAAAACATTTTCAGCTTAGATAGAAAAAAAGAGAGGTAAAGAAGGAAGAACACAACTTACTATTTCAAAGCAAAGAAGAAATACAAATTGCGTGGTAGTACCAAAATTTCTTGGTCTCGTCGAATAGCAGTCATTATCTTTTCAGCCACATAGTCTGGGTCTAAAATGGGGAGCAGAAACGGCCACCTAGAAGGGAGGATGTTTATTTTAATACAGATTTCTTTAGATTGACATTTTATTCAAGAAGGTATCAATTCTTGCAGATAATTAAAAGAGAAATACCATAAATCATATGAAGCAGCAAACCTTTTTTATATTAGCCTAAAGAGGGAAAGGGGTGGTTGTTACTTTTCCTTTGTCTCCCTCACAAGAGAGAGCCATGTATTAAGACACTCTAGCCTTTTATTTGGCTCCTGAATTTTGTGTTTTTATAAGTGTACTGAGCAAAGCTATGCCAGTGACTTCAGGAGGTGAATGAAGGAAACCAGATAGGACAACTGAAGCATTTGACTTCCACAAAGGAATGAAACAGGGGAAGGGACATCAATTACGTTTTATGCTTCAGCTTAAATGAATATTGAAGTACTGAAAGCTTTGCCACATACACTGCCTAGTCACTAGATAGCATATCATCCTTGAGAGGCCCTGAAACAACACAAGCAGGGCAAAGTCTAGCTTCTAAGTGTCATAAAAGAAACAAGACCACACGTTCAAATTGCATAACAACATCACAGAAGCTTACTTGGTACTGCAGCCATCGAACATCCCTGTGTTTATGAAGTAAGGACACACAGTTGTGGTTTTAACACCAGTCTTTCCCAGAACTTTCATCTCGTAACTAATGGACTCTGCAAAACCGACGGCCGCAAACTTACTTGCACAGTAATCTGTAAAACAAATAGAACAGTAATTGCAGTTAATTTATGAAACCTTACTAAAAAAGCGAGTCCCAGTTTTTGACAGAGAACAGGGACAACTCTGTGCTTTAGTAAGTAAACAAACAGCAGCACTGCAGAACGGTATTGATACGATGTACGTGTGCTACTCCCAGGAAATTACTATCCTGTAACACAACAGAGTAAGAAGCAATTTCATAGGCTACTAATAAAACTTGCTTTTGATGCGACTCATTCTTTTACTTTCCCTCTTCTAAATCAGCTGTTGGTATGGACTGGCAGACAGAGGGTTTCTCATCACATCTCTGTGTGTATCACCTTCCTAGTCACTAATCTGCTAACAGCAGATGATAAGGACCGGCATGAAAACATAACTTCATTAAATCGGTTTCTTCAGTCTCAAACCTAGAATTTCAAGACTCTCCAAAGTGTTTTCAGCTTGCAGCTCTATTTGTTTTCATTATCACTATCTTGAAGCTAGATTTCTTTTATGCCACGTATTTCATTTTCCTTCCCCTCATTTGCATGCACTTTGCAGGAATTCCTTCTGAGTCTGCTGTAATCTCAACACTGAGTAGGTTCTCCTCAGTGAATGGAGAAGAGAATGCAAAATGAGATACTGTGCAACTACCACTGTACTACATTGGATTTTAGTAACAGTTTGAGTTGGGAAGTCAATACAGGACGCTGCATAGCTTGAGAACATATCTGCAAAGAAAGTTGCCTCTAAGCTACCAAATGTCTGTAGGTCAATTTCAATAACATACAAGTTCTCAGTTTTCAAAGTTCCATATGAAGCTCCTGGATCCTCTTACTGCCTTGCTAGAAAAGCCTGTTTCACAGCACTGCTGAGCATCCGGAAAACTTTTTCAACAAAATGTCTAAGGTCAGCTGGTTTGAAAGTATCACTGTTTGCTTTACTTTATATACAGCAACCCAGAGACTCAAAGTTAGGACTTCTTTCATGAGTGTAGACTGCTGGGCTTAAATCAAACTAATTGGTTTAACTAAACAGACATCAGCTTTAATACCCTACCTGCAAGACGGTTGACTCCAATCAGTCCTGCTGTGCTTGCAATGCTAACCAAGTGTCCGTGGTTAGAGGCTATCATTGCTGGAAGGAAGGCTTTATAAGTCTGCAACGTAAGTCAGAGTTGCAATGAAACATTTTAGTAAGTGAAGTACTTGCTATAATATTCCAAAGGTGTTATTTGTAGAGAAATTCTGCCTGCACTTTTAGTGAGAACTTCCTGCCTATTATACAAGAGAGGGAAAAAAAAATAGGAATTTGTTGTTTGAACACTAAACTAAGCTGGGATGTTCCATGTCCAACCAGTCCCATTTTCTCAACACTGTAGACAGATGACAACTTGCTGAAAGCAAAAAACGCATCTTCAGCTAGCTGTAAAACTGCTTTTACCTTAAAGCTCAGCACTATTTTGTTTCAAATGAAGACTGAAGACTCAATACAAAATTTTGTAAAATGGCAAAAGTTTGAATTTCACATCTTCCTTTTAAGTTTACTTAATCTTTGTGGTTAAATTTATTTATGAAGAAACTGAAGCATGTTTTAATGTCTCATTTACAATTCTTTATGGTAAGAACACAGCATAGATGGCCCTTCTGCCCTGAAAGGAGGAAAAGCACATTAAGTTGTTCATTTTGGACAAAAGCCCCACTTATTTAGTGTAAGAACACTGACTGGACATGTAGTATTCCTTACAATAACTATCATAACCACAAAGTAACTAAAACAACAACAGAATTCAACACTTCTGTTGCTAGAGCAGCAACTTCTAAACTGGACCTGTTTCACATCAATGAATATTGAGAGATATAGTATCTGCTTAGCTTAAGAATTTAACAGAATGACAAACTTCAGTTCTTAAAAGCATTTCTAAATACTAAGCAGTTTTTCTCCCATTTAGCTACCTAGAAGTTCCTAAAAGATCCATTCCTCACCCTTTATTTCACATACTCCAAGGCATAGAAAATAATTTCTTGTATCATTTCTGGCTCAACTTCTGCATATTTTACTCAATTCCAAATGGCAAAATTAATACTGAAAACATGTCAGGAGGATAGGATGTTTATGTGTGTATGTATGTACAAGAACAGCATTACCCAAAAGTGTGCCATTGTGTTCACTTCCATAGTTTTTTCCACAAGTGAATCTGGCGATTCAATAAAGCTCCTTCCAGTGACAATGCCAGCATTGTTGACTAGGATGCTGACATCACCAACTTCTTTCTTAACCTACAACAAAAAGTCTTGAGTTATTATGCAATAAATATAAAACACGCTTTCTGAATTTTATACATAAGAATATAAGAAATAGAAATGTCACACATCTCAACCAAGCTGAATGTATTGTGCTTGTTACAGATCCAAATACTATGGGTTCCTACACTTTCCCACTTGATGCCTATTTAGGCCTGAGCTCACCCCTGGACTTTGGAGCCCAGCAGCTCATGGCTCCATGTAGGTGTCTGCTTTCAGAGAACTACAGTTCTCACTGTGACTGTTCCAGATAAATCCCTACTACAGAGACCTTTACTAATATAAGTACTTTCCTACATTAAACCCATCTCAAAACCAACAGGCAATTCTGTATTTAGGACTATTTCTGTACCATGCTGCAAGCACAGTATGCAAGTCCTCATGCCAAGTAAACGGAATCAGTCCACCAAAACCTACATGAGGGCCATAATAGCTGAACTAATAGCTAAAACTAACCTCACTTGTGAGATTTGCTCTATACTCAAATCCTCTTACATATTCCAGAGTTACTTGTATTCAGAAGCAGTGCTGCCATACGGCTTCAGAATTGAAACTAGCTTTCACACCACTGGTCTTCTAGTGAAGAGAAGGAAAAGAGGGTTACTTGCTGGTAACACAAGTTGCCCGTGTCCAAACAATCCAGGATTTTATCTTTACCATTGTACAGGACAGCAGCTACTTAATTGCATCATGGTATTTCAGACATTTCAAAGCTCACTGTGCTGTTTAGCACAGGTTCCATTTCTTCTGAATGCCAGTGTTATGCAATTGCAAGTATTAGATTGCAGCTTCTCCACTAGCCATACCTTCACTTGTACACAACAAAAGCTTTCCTATTAAACCAGACCTCCTTGCACCCTTCTTGAGGATCAGAGTTCTCTCCCTCAGCACATTAGGGTTAGAATGGGCAAAGTCATTTTTCATTAGAAATATCCCATATGTGCATAAGCAGTGAGAAAGACAGCTTATAAAATTATTTTCCATATTACAGCCTTTTCCTTTATTCAAATAGCTTGACTGCTTCAAGCAATTTCATAGGTCAGGAATTTAACAGTTTCTCTTACCAAATGAAGGTGTTTATTCTATTATTATTATTATTATTTTTTATTTGTGTATCTACAGTTTAGGTGGAGGAGTGAAAAACACATGCTTTCACAGAATGCAAAAGCCTCAAAAGCCTTCTGGGGCAGCACACGACAAGCAGTTTGTTTGTAGAATATTTGCTTTGATTGTAACACTGAGCCAGAAACCTTTTGAAATGGTTCCAGAAAATTAGTTGGCTAAAAAATAATTTAGCTCAGTAAGTGGAAGCATAGTTCTCATTTCAGCTCCAGAATGAGAGTCTACTAACCTGACAGTACAGCTACAGGCCAGCTGAGATCATCAAGGTGTTGTACCAGTTTTCATAGAAGGAGAATTAAAATATTTAGTGTGGTATTTCAAGTATCGTTCATTCATCTCTGCTATCCAGGAAACAGGAGGCAAGTTCCCTATTTTTGTTTAATTTGTAGCTTCCAGATCAAGTGGTAAAACTCCGCTGGTGAGTAGCTTAGGAAAAGCACCTTCTTCTTATGTCCCCGGCCATTGAGTTCCAGATCATAGAAAACTCATTTCTCAATGAGATGTCCTATGCTGTACAAATACAGCAACTGAACAGAGCATGAGGAGACCACACAGGATAGCTTGCCTGAGAGCAAGGGTTTAAATGTAATGCTTATCCCCTTAACAACCTTGTTGTCTCTGCACTTATTTGACTATTTCCATGTTTGTTAAAAGGCATAGATTTAAAAAAAAAAAAAAAAAAAAAAAAAAAAAAAAGCAGTCTTCTTAGGATTATATGGAATAGCTTTTATTTCACTCTATAAGCCAAAGCCCTCCTTCTACCTCAGTCATACTCCTCCCAGAGGGTCATCAGGTAACAATTCAAGTATTCCTGGAGCAGGGCTACATAATCTCTGCATGCAGCCTTGGACAAGTTGGTCTAGTCACTAACAGGAGCACACAGCCCCATCACAAGTTAACAACTGTGGGAACTCAGAGAGACCCGGAATCACTGGCAAATGATGCAGTAGCACTGCCTCACATCTGATGATCTTTGCAAACCTGGAAGCACAGACTCACTCCCCCGGCCTACCCTTTGGGGCAAATAAATACCTGAATGAGCAGTCATGCTGCTTTCGCATGCAAAAGCATGGACAGAGCTGGGGGATGTTCATAAGGTGGTACCTGGGGCATTCCCATAAGGTGAAGATGAAAATACTGTGAGAAGGCAGCAAATAACAGTCTCAATGGATTTCTTACTAGGGGTAAAAAACCTAAGCGACCTCTTCCTTTATTCCTGTTTAAGAACAGCTGTCTCTACCAAGCTTTCCAAAATACATTCACACTTCGGATAGCATTCAAAGCAGACTTGAGTGCCTTGATGCAACCCATACACTTCAGCTGTTCAACAACTGCTAACTAGACTAACAGCTCCTTGCTCACACACCTGGCTGTTCTGGTTCCCTCCTCACAGCTACCCCACACAAGACAGAGAGCCAGGACACTCAGACCAGGCTCCCACATTCTTCTCTCAGAACAGGACACCTCTACTGAGTATTCTAATTAATGGGGCAGGGAATATCATCTTTCCAGAATTATAAGCCTCTCCATTATGCAGAGCAGGAAAGGATACTTCAGGTGTTTGTTTTAGGCCTAGGTAAGCTGAAAATTATGCAAACTGCTGACCTGGTTAAGCATCTTTATCAAGCATGAGCACCCTTTCCTGTTTGTTGCTGTATTTCATTTATAACTTTACATATAGACACTTGGCTGTATTTCTGTGAACCACAGAGAGCATCCCAAAGTGCCTGCCTTCCATGGACAAAGACCATCTCCCATAACTTCCTACAAGGTGGGAAAAGTTCACTGGATGTGTATTTGGGAGCAGAAAACATCACTGAGAAACTTGCTTCTGCTGTGCAGGGGAGCAAAAGCAAAGAAGGTTCATACAAAAGTAAAAACAGTCACGTTGACAAGCAATCAGTAACAACAAAAATCAAAATAGAGCATAAGCAAAGCAGTAACACACAAGAGGATCTTGAAGCAAGTGTGAGCCCATATGCAATTCATAATCTCATACTGAGAAAAAGGCTGTTTCCTCCCAAATAGGAGATCAAAAGCCCATAAAAGTTACTTCCCTCTTTCAAAGCCCCAAATGCCTAATGTTAAGCTAAACTCTAAGTAAAGGAGTTAAGTCAGAGAAGGCCAAATTCCTTTTGGGGGTGGTGGTGCAACAGGGACACTTTGAACACATCTTAAGCCGTAGCTCTCAGCACCAAAAGCTGTCTTTGTTGGTACAGGAAATTCATAAGGACATCACACACCCAGCACTTTTTGTTTTTCTTCCTACTGAAATGTTCTCTGATTTCTGTGTGGCTGATGAAGTACCCAGAGCAGGTAGTTAAGGATCAGTTGCATTTCATTTTGACATTGAGATTCCAGGAAATACACCATGCAAAACAACGTTCCATACTGCCTGCATGAATTTATTTCACGATCATCTTGCACCTCTCCAAGCTACTATGTGTGTAGCTGAACCACAGGAGAGGGAAAAAAAAAAAAAAAAAAAAAAAAAAAAAAAAAAAAAAAAACAGTGGAACAGTTCTGCCTCATCTTGCAAAAACTGAGGAAGCACACTGAGCTAGGATCTACTACGCAGTACTAAATGAACAGCAGCATCAAGCACTGATTAATACTAAGGTCTTGCTGCTAATAAGAACACTTTGAGTGTGGTTCTACATTAGGAGGACATGCTGTATCTAAAACAACAGTGGTGGGAGTCTGTTTTCTTCCCTGTGGTTCAGCTGTTAGTGAACTTCTGACAGAATATTGTAAAGTGAGCAATCCTGCACTGTATGGTTACAAGACCCCTTTACCACCTCCTTGCTCCCATCTCCCCATTTTTATCATCCTCAATCTATTCTACACACGTAGCTACATCCTCTGCTTGTCCAGAAAGGTTCTTCTGCTGCTTTTCTCCATGGTACTGAAGCATCAGCCCTCAGGTCCTTAGAACTGCACTTAAGTTTAGCAACATTTTAAGCAAATGAGAGCAGGTTATAATGGAAACTGTTAGGGAGTTCTAGCTTTTGGCACTTCTACAAGTCCTGCCCAAGATATCTAGCCACAAGCCGTATTTACAAAGCTCTTTAGAAAGCATCCTAACAAAGCCTTCAAGTTCTATTTATTAATTCTGTTCACGTGCACTTGCAAAAGTCTATTCACAGCTAGGGATCTAGCCTAAGTTGACCAAAGTCATTAATCCTTCTCACAAGGTACAATCTTCAGGGTTTACTTTTTGTAAAATGTTTCTAGAACTTGAAATACTGCTTTAATTTCAGTAAGTTGTCTCTATGTACTTCACCAGCAAGTGCTGCACAAATGCAAAGCCACTCAGCTGAAATTTGTCATTGAAAGAGAACCAGCTCTTTTTATTTTTAAAGGACAAAGGTACGAAAGTCAACTCTTAAGAACCAGTATTCTTAAAACAGGTAGTATATGTAGTAAGTCAAATGAAACATTTTCTCGACTTGACATGGCTAAAGTGTATCATAGATCACCAACACCTCAGAATAGTGTCAAAGCTGCAAGTGAGATACTTTACCTGATCTGCTACTCTGTAGACTTCCTGCCTTTTGCTGCAGTCACAGATGTAAGAATGAATTCTTACTGCTCCATTTTCTTCAGCCAATCTGCACGTCTCCTGGAGTCCGTCTTGATTAATGTCCCAAAGAACCAGTGTGGCTCCAAGTTTGGCAAACTTTAAGGATAAGAGTCTTCCAATTCCACTTCCTGCTCCTGTTATTAATACTATTTCGCCACTCACATTCTTCTTACGTTTAGGCACAAACAAAAACACCAGTGATTCCAGCATGTAATATGTTGAAAGTCCAATGACTTTGAGCAGCTCCAGGAAGAAGTTCATCTTGAGGCTATTTTTTCTGATATCTGATTGAAAATAATGCAAACATGAACAATTCCAAACAGAAAAGCATTTTCCAATCTATTCTAAGTATTTTGAACTCAGAAGCAGCCTAGAGAGTACATGGCCTTATGTCTGCATGTCTGACTCACCTACTCTGTTTCTATATTATCTTGAGGGCGTTCCTATTCTCTTCCAGAAATGCAAGAAGAGATTTGTGATTTGGGAGAGGGAAGAAATACTTGCTTTGAAAATTCTCCGCCCTTCACATCATGGCTTTCCACCTCCGCTCCAACAGAATATAGACACCTTAAAAAAAGGCAACAGTTGCCCTTTGCTACATCTGAAGCCAAAATGCATGGCAATTAGAAATCAACAGGCTTGAATCACAAGTATGTGTGTACCTACACAGTCCATACTTACCACAGTAACTCTGAGCAGGCATTTAAGTCCATTCCCCAGCATATGAATGCTACGCAAGAAGCACACCCTTGGTCGAGGCAGGCTTTTATCTTTGACTTAGTTATGGTGCAAAAGATTAGTACTTTCTTTTTGAGCTAAAGGTACAGCTTAGCAGTGCTTACACTTCAACTTTTAGCACTAAGTGCCTGATTCAATCACATCTTTATTATCGCTGGTATCTAGGTACATACTCATGTTTGACAATTGCCTAGAGATAAGTTACTTATATCTCTGCAGCTCTGAGCAAAGTCTGCAAAGTGTAGCATTTTAATTTACATTGTCAGGAGCATCAAGTTTTGGTACATGACAAACATCTCAATAGCTGTGAAGGAACAGACAACTGCAAGATGAGAGTGAGTTAGTTCAGAAGGCTTTACAGTGCAAGCATTAGGACATGGTTTCCATACCAATTTTGGTAACAGAAAAACATCAAAAAGCAAAGAGGGTCAGGAAACAAGTTCCGTCTTTCTGAAGGACATGTTGGGTTTTCTCTTCCTAATTCCCTTTCAAACGGTGCAAAGTATACACAGAAGTTCTCGCACAGAAAAGGTAGGGTAGTAAAACTGATTTAAGTATTTTTTACAGCACAATATTTTCATAGATACTGCAATGATTTTACCTGCAGTAGACATTCACATTTGTAGAGCTATGACAGATCTGAGCTAAGGTAGAACTAGATGGGAGAGGTGTTACTAAACTTCACAGGTATCAAAAATAACATATTTTTTCATTACAGTTTATTTGCTGTGTCTAAAACAGACGTAGGAAGCCTTCAAAGCAGATGCAGCTACAGAGTTTAACTTCACCAAGTTAATTTAGAAGGGTGAACAGTAACATACTTCATTGGCATGAAAGGAGATTGGTATCTCCAGAACACATACGAATGTTACAGAGAGCTGCAAAAGAGTCCTTAATCCCTATAGAAAACACAAGGGAGGTAACAGCCTTCTGAATATAATATTCTGTTTGATCTAAAACCAGTTCCTAAAACCAGAGTGTGTCAGCAATTTAGTAAGCGATATGATCAGGTATCAGGCTTATACAGGGCAGAGACATGCTAGAGCTCAGAGGAGAACTTGTTTTCTCTTGGGGAAGTAGAATTGGTTTAGGTATAGGGGTTGTCAAACTCCACACCCCTCACTGAGATGCTTACCACTTCCCTCTGCTGTGCCTCCCTTAGCCTACCCGTGCCTGGCCCACAGCCCTGTTCTGCCAACTCACAGCACAGGGCTGGTCTGACAGCAGTAAATAGGAGCACGTAAGTTGGAATAGATTTACAGGTGAATGAGCTATAGATACCTTTGGCACACATAGGACAAGCAGATTCCTGCATTTCCTCACCAGTCATTCTGGTGACACACATTGCTTTTAATACTTCTCTGCCTCCCCCCCACATAAGTACGAAGGGCTTCTATGCAGTAGCAAAGTCTCAAGAGGTTTCACAACAGCTTATCAGTCAAATTGCTTTCCAGCCACAGAGAGTTTCCAAAACAGACTTGTATGTGCAGGTGCTGATGCTGTCAGCTGAGCAGCCCCTGCAGACTACCAGTGCCCACAAGCTGCAAGGACCGAACTGGGACTACTATCATGGAGCAGCTTGAGTTGGAAGGGAAGCCCATCCAGTCCTGCCGTAGTCAGGGCTGCTCTCCACCAACTCAGCTATGCAGGACTCCATCCAGCCTGGCCTTGAGTATCTCCAGGGATGGGACACCACAGCTTCTCAGGGCAGCTGTGCCAGGGTCTCACTGTGTAAAGGATTTCTTCTTACTATCTAACCTGAGTTTCCCCTCTTGTAATTAAAAGCCATTCCCCCCGTCATATCACTATCAGAATGCGTAAAAAAAAAATCAGCCTCCATTTTTTTTTTTTTTTTTTTTTTTTTTTTAAATAAACTGCCTTTACCGTATGTTGCTCCAATACACCGCTAATAGAGAAAGCGTTAAAAAAACTGATGGTACAACCACCTGAGCAGATGCCGGCAGGTACGCATTCACTCACTGCATCCAGAGGGCAGGAAATCCCGGCACACGCAGCGGTGCCGTGAGCCGAGACGAGGCACCTGGCAGGCAATGCCTTCCCTGGAAGATTCCGCGCTACCCTGAGCCTCCCATCCGCCCCTGTCCACCGTCTAACACCGGACTCCAGCCCACAAACGGCTCGGAGCAGCAAGCGGGGAGCGGCTCGCCACCCCCTCCCCACGCTGAGCACCGCCTACCCCTAGGAGCCCGGCACCCATGGGTGCTCCCCCGCCAGCGTCCCCCCACAGCACCCCGGGTACCTCCGCTTGTCGGACCGAAGAACGAAGGCAACTCCGCCTGAGGGAACAGAGAGGCCGCGTACCGCGAAGGAAGCGCGACATGGAGAACGGGACTGCGGGCCGATCCCGGCCTTTATACCGCAGCCCTCCCCGGAGCGGGGCTGACCGGATACCGGGGGGCGGGCCGGAAGGGCCGCGGGTCGGCGGTGGGGGGAGCGGGTCCGGCCGGGTCGGAGCCCGTGGAAGGCTGGGCAGGGCTAGTCTGGTCTTCCGTGCCTCGCGCACAGCGGTGGGGCTGTGTGGGATCCTGGGGAGCTCGTCAGGCGGAGTTTGCGTGAGGAAGGGGCGGCATTCTGTGAGACGGCGGCTGGTGCGCGGAGACGGCGCCGGGGAGCGTGAGGAGGTGGCGCCGTCGGTGAGCTGCGCCGGGGTGAGAGATCCCCGGGCGGGTTCAAGTGAATGGAGGATGCCTGGGCTTCCCAAAAGTGCTGTAGTTGTCTCATAAGGGAGTTTAGGATGGCCTGAGTTTGCTGACTCGTGCCCTGTGTTTACTGCCCTGGATGGTTTCTTCCTTCAGAGCAGCGCTTTGGGGCGGCTCTTGCTTTCACCTCTCGCTCCTACTTAGACAAGAAAACTGAACGCTCGCAACTTTCCGAGAAGGTCTGTAAGACATAGGGTACTTAATGCCGCCGGAAAAAAAATAGCCCTGGAGGCATTTCCTCTGCACTCGGATCCTTCGTGTCCCTCCTTCCCGAGTGGCACGTTTACGCTGCTGTTACACTCCTGTGAAACGCAGAGCACACGGTTTTCTGAACCTTCGCTTTCTGCCTGCTGTGTTAGGCGGTCGCTCCCTTATGAAGCGCTGGGTTCGTTATACTGCCTAATCGCTGTGCTGTGTTCACTATTAATAACGTGTCTCAGGGCAACTTTGGAAATCTGAGGTGTGACCCATCGTCTCCAAATAAATGTTCAGAGCTCTGTTCGAGGGACTGCTTTCAAGAGCAGGGAGTACTGTGATTCACACTGGCACGAACAGGTTGCTTTGCTTGCCCGCTCAGGAACAAATGGCACCCTGTGGTCACAAAGAGCCAGGGTTTGGAAGCTGCTGTGCTGTTTAAATAAATACCTTTCCTGCTTTCACAACCTGCTCTACTTGAAGGACTGTTGAAAGGGGTCAAAAGTTCTTTTCTTTCAGGTATATAATGCTGGGTCAGGGTCCAGGCTTTTGACGGTACAGGCAGTGCTGAACCCTCAGGATCAGCTCACAGAAGGGAAAGTATCTGCTGAATTAGAATATTCTGCTGAGTTAATGTTTTATTGTAATAATAAAGTAAATCCAGGAGGCTGATGATAGCCAAACAGTAACATCGATGAAATTTGGTTTTGGCTGCGACTTTCTTTTGGATTGTATTGTTTGCAGTGGTTCATTTGAAACAAGGAAGTGTGGAAAACCATTCATTTAATTTTCAAAAATACTTAAATAAAATATGTGCTTTGTAGTAATGCTTGCAAATTAGTAGTATTTAACACTGAGCCTGACCTTGTGAGAGGAGTGGGAAGCTAGAAATATGGATCCTTGCCTCCTTTCCCAGATTTTGTAAAGTAAATAATAAAATTGCTGAAATAAAACTCACTGAAATGTCTGAATGTCTCCAGATTGCTTATCTACATGATGAAAAGTTCAAGTTTAGCCTGAAAGATACCTTTTTCAGGACTGTCAAATTACCGTTTTCCATGGTTTGGGGTTGGAGCAGAACCAAGTACAATTGTCAATCATGACTCAAGTCCAGAAATTGAACTACTTTCATCTGTGTCAGATGAAGATGTCTCCCTTTTGCCACACATAATTTCTGGACCAAATTGTGAGTGCTGGCAAAACTCCAGGGCCGTACTGGACTGGTATGGTTGGTGCAGGGTGTGTTACACCACTCTGTGCGTGTTCAAAGGATCCCAAGTTTATCTCAAGGCCACGGAAATAAGTTGGAGTGACTTTGTAAGAGCTTTGCCTTGTCTATACTCATACTACTTAAGTGTCCTGCAACTGTTGATTGTTTTCAAGGGTGTCTCTTTATTTTGGCAACGTGAATTCCCATAAAGCTCTTGGTTTTGCTGTAGAGTAGATAGTGGTGCTGCTAGTGGAGCCACATAATCAGGTGCACAGAGCCTCATGCAAAGCTGTGGCAGTCCTTATTACATTAATGTTGGCTTCACCTTTTAATTTTGATTATCAGTATGTCACAATAAATGAGGATTAAGTAAACCGAATAAGGGTTGGCCTAAGCTAGATAAATGCAACTGCACAGTGACTAGGACACGCAGCCTTGCCTCAGCACAGAACAACAACCTGACTTGCTCAGGCCATGCTCTTTCAAAAGCACTCTTCTTATTCTTTTATTTTTTTTTTTTTTATAAGAGCACTCAAAATGTACTAAATATTTGATGTTAAACCATTGATTATTCCCCACCTACTGCAGCTGTTCAAGTGAAGTAGTGTAATATGCTAGCAATGTGACCTTCACCCAGATAGGAATACCTGCTGTGTATGTCTGCAATGCCAAAGTTCAGCTGCTCACTGTGGGTGTAGGTGAATAAATCAGCTCTTGTGAGTGGTAGAAGTGTTGTATGTCCCTTAGTCATGAAAAAGTGTGCCAGTCTCTGTTATGCAGAGTTATGACAATGATGGTGCAAAGGGCTTAAAACCACATTTCCCACCTTCCCAGGAGAACGCTACAAATACCTTTTTAAATTCCTTTATCAAATCTGCAGAGCCTTGAATGATGTGGGACAAGAGGGTTCCTCTTGCCTTATGTACCTAGCCCTGCTGCTGCCCACCCTACTCCACATTATAGAAATGAATGACAGTAGCATCACCTCTTTGAAGTGATATTTGCCAAGGTTGCGGTACTTTATTTAACTCACTGCTCTGGCGATGGAATTGGCACACTGTGGTCCTCTCTGACTACTCAGGTGTTCAGATTATTGGTGCCAAAGAGGTTATTGCACGCAATTGCTGGGAGTGGCAGCAGAAGGCTCCCTTGAGTAAGCAAGTAGCATTGGCTGAGCTTCCCTCTGCCTCCAGAGCTGGTTCACTTTAACTAGAACCGTGAAATGAAAGAAACATGAGGTGTGAGTAATTCCAGTGTGATACAGAAGTATTAAAGCATGAGCTCAAATACTGGGTACATGTCTAAGGGTTGTAAACCAGGCTCTCATTTAGCACCATTATGTTTTCTGATACTTCCATTAGGATATTATTTCTGATCCTAATATCCATTAGGATATTATTTGGTAATACACAAGCTATAACGTTGATACATAAAGAACAGAGATATCAGTAGCATGCCATAGTCAGATGCAAAGAGATTGCTGCCATGTAGCCCCCTGCTCACTGCTTTTTCATACTTCCCTATGTGTCTGCACTGTATGTTCCTCATAGTACCTCTGCTTCTAAGAGAACCTTCCTGCATTCCAAGTGGAAGCATCTCACAAGGGACTTCTCTCTTTCCTCTCTGGAAAAAAAAAAAAACAAAACAAAAAACTGTGAGTGGTTGGTTAGGAAGTCTGGGCCAAACATCATTTACAATATAAGCTGTCAGAATGGATTTAAAGGGAGATGATGAAAAAAAGAAAAAGAAAAAAAAAAAAAGTAATTCCTAATAATCTAATTCTGAGTGGTTAATAGAATAATGCATCTTTCTACCATTTGGGACTTGAAAAAGTTTTTTTCTAATGAAGAGTAATGCAAGGTTTCTGACATGAAAATACAAGAGGCTCAGCAGGGAAGCAGAATTAGCAAAAGAGATCAGGTCTGCAGTGATGCTGGGAAATGAAGCAGCGCTGTTGATGGCCAGCTAACAAGAAGAAAAGTTAGCAAGTTTTTAATTAATTGAGTCTGTACAGAAGCAGTGGGTGGGAGAGTGTGTTCTAATAAGGGAATAAGCAGGGACTGAAGGAGAAATTGGAATGGGAGCAGCAGGCTATAACCACTCAAAGAGCTAATTTAAAACTCCACATACTGTAAGGAAAACTCCAGGTGAGGCTGTGATGAGTTCCTCAGCTGGGCTTTTTGTCAGAAAGTCAGGGAGGTAGGGGCTACGTGTGGCACAAATGGTAGGGGAGAAGAAAACATGAAGGGTGAAAGTCGTAATGATTCTGTGTCAAACCTAGCCCTTACTCCTCTGCTTTTCTGAATTTTCAAAGTTCTGGAGGCAGCGAGGAACAGAACTTTTAATGTATTCTAATGCACTCTATAACAGGTGTTCACCAGTTCTCTGAGTGTTCAGTCTTATTCCATATTTGTGCCATTGCAAGCTACTGCTAAAAAGCTAACTTGCCCTTTTGCCCCCCTCGTCCTTTCATTTCTTTGTTTTCTATTGGCCTCAAGGAAATAATTTCTAAGTAATCTCTTAGCAGCTGAGGTGATTACTAAGCATTAAGGTTTTTTTTGCCTTTCAATAAGATGTACCCTCTCATTCTCTCAAATAAATGTTGTGAAAATAAGAATATGCTTGTGCATCTTGATGGTCAAGTTTGGACTGCATGTATCCAGAGGTTGAGATAATGCTGCAAAAGGTTTTGAGAGGAGTAAAGGGTGCTGCCTTAATTGTTGGCCTGCAAATTGAAGAAAAATGCAGGATTCCTGCTTTTGGACTTTAACTTCTCTTTTTTCCCATCACTTTGTAATTGCTAAGCTCTTCGGCTGAATCAACAGGAGGAAGCTGTGGTGAAGCCATTTTGTCAGGGAAAATGTCAATTCATTAATAGTGATTACAACAAACACTGAACAGCATTCACAGGAGCATTCTGCCTCAGATGAAGTTTCACAGTGTACCCCTGGTTACTTCTTGTACTTCGGTACTTTGGAGAGTACCAAACCTGTTTTCTGAGGAAGCAGAGTTTAAATCACCCTTGCATTTGCCAGTTTTTGTTCAAATTCAAAATGTCAGTTTCCCACTTCTACAGATTCAGATTTTTGTAGCCTCTTAACAGTTCATTTGAATGGAGCAGTTACAGAATCACATAATCACAGGGATTGGAAGGGACCTCAAGAGATCATGAAGTACCACAGGTCATGCAGGTAGGCATCCAAATGAGTCTTGAATATCTCCATAGAAGGAGATTCCACAACCTCTCTGGCAACCTGATCCAGTGCTCCATTATCCTTACCATG